TATCCAACTGGCTCATATCCATCGTCTGTAGTTGTTGGTGATTTCAATAATGACACTCGGCTGAATATCGTCGTTGCTAATTTTTATGACAACACTGTAAGTGTACTTCGCGGATATGGCAATGGCTCTTTTGCAAATCAAATTGAATATTCAATTGGCTCTTATCCATCTTCTGTAGCTGTTAGTGATTTTAACAATGACACTCGACTGGATATCATCGTTGCTAATGTAAATGACAACAATGTACGTGTGCTTTTCGGATATGGCTCTGTTTCTTTTGGAAATCAAACTACGTATTCAGTTGGCTCTTATCCATCTTCTGTGGCTGTTGGTGATTTCAACAATGACACTCGGCTGGACATCGTTGTTGCTAATAGTGGTGACAACACTGTAACTGTATTGTTTTCTCATAGCAAAGGATTTTTAGTAAACGAAATAACATTTGCATCTGGAGGTGGTTCTCGTCTACGATATGTTGCTGTCGATGATTTTAACAATGATACGGTGTTAGATCTTGTTGTCGTTAATTATGGCACCAATGATATAGATGTACTTCTGGGAAATGATAATGGATCATTTTTAGAGCACAAAACGTTTCCAACAGGTTCAAATCCAGATTCACTTGCCATAGGTGATTTCAATAGTGATGGTCAACACGATTTTGCTGTTGCTAATTATGGTAGTAAAAACATTGATATACTTGTTGGAAATGGAAAGGGAACATTTACACGTCAATTAACTACTGGATCTAACATGGCTTTCGCTCCTGTAGTTGTCACTACTGGTGATTTCAACAATGACGGACAATCAGAAATTCTTGTCGCATATGACAATACTGATAATATAGATATATTTGTTACATTTGATACTGGCGCTTTTAGAAATCAACTTACGTATCCAGCTGGTAGTTCTCCATGGTCTGTAGCTGTCGGTGATTTCAACAATGATACTCAGCTGGATATCATCGTTGCCAATCAGAATGACAACACTGTAAGTGTACTTCTCGGATATGGCAATGGTTCTTTTACGAATCAAACTACGTATGCAACTGGCTCCTATCCAATTTCTATAGCTATTGGTGATTTTAACAATGACACTCAATTGGATATCGTCGTTGCCAATGAGGATGACAATACTGTCAGTGTACTTCTTGGATATGGCAATGGTTCTTTTGCGAATTCAACTACGTATTCAACTGGCTCTCTGCCAGTTTCTGTAGCTGTTGGTGATTTCAACAATGACACTCGACTGGATCTCGTTGTTACTAATGGAGGTGACAGCACTGTAAGTGTACTTCTCGGATATGGTAATGGTTCTTTTGCAAATCAAACTACGTGTGCAACTGGCTCGGAACCATTTCGTTTAGCTGTTGGTGATTTCAATAATGACACTCGACTGGATATCGTCGTTTCTAATTCTATTGACAACGCAATAAGTGTACTTCTTGGATATGGCAATGGTTCTTTTACAAATCAAGTTAGATATTCAACTGGCTCTTGGCCAGTTTCTGTGGTTGTTGGTGATTTTAACAATGACACTCTACTGGATATCGTCGTTTCTAATGGAAATGACACAACTGTAAGTATACTACTTGGATATGGCAATGGTTCGTTTACAAATCAAACTACGTATTCAACTGGCTCTCAGCCATACTCTGTAGCTGTTGGTGATTTCAATAATGACACTCGGCTGGATATCGTCGTTGCTAATTTTGGTGACAACACTGTCAGTGTACTTCTCGGATATGGTAATGGTTCTTTTTCAAACCAAACTACGTATTCAACTGGCTATGGTCCATTTTCTGTAGCAGTTGGTGATTTCAACGATGACACTCGATTGGATATTGTGGTTACTAATTTTGATGGAGACACTATAGGTATATTTCTTGGTTACTTAAATAAGGATTTTCAGTTTCAAACGACACTGATAACTGGTAAGAGGTCTGTTCCGCGATCATTAATCGTTGTTGATTTTAACAATGACACTTATATGGATATTGTTGTCACAAATTCAGGCACTAATAGTATTGGTATTTTTCTTGGATTTGGCAATATCTCTTTTTCAAATCAAATAACATTTGCAACTGGCTCTGGTCCATGGTCTTTAGCTGCTGCTGATTTAAACAATGATAGCCAATTAGATATTATTGTCAGTAATATTAATGATAGTAACATCAGTGTTTTTCTCGGTTTTGGTAATGGATCTTTTGCAAATCAAATAACATATTCAACTGGAATTAATGCTGAACCTTACTCAGTTGCCATTGGTGATTTTAATAATGACGCCATATTAGATGTTATTGTCGCTAATTATCGTGCTAGCAATGTAGTTATATTGTTTGGATCTGGTGGTGGTAGATTTACAGATTCAAAAGTATATTGGGTTAGTTATGGATCTTTTCCATTTTCTGTTGTTGTTGGCGATTTCAACAATGACAAAAAACTCGATTTTGCGGTTGCTAACTATGGTGATGACAATTTAAAGATTTTATTACAGACTTGTTAATTTATCTCTAACTTTAAACATTTTTATCTTTTTATATTATGTGTTTGCTATTACTAATATTTCTTATAACTTTTTTATTTTTCACTTTATTTAATATAATCGATTAGTTAGAACTATCAAATAAATATGTTCACAAATAAGAAAATTATAGTAAGTTATTGGATGAAAGCGCAACCTAGAACTACTTTCGTGGAACTATAGAGAGCACAAACCTCATGTATCAATGGGACAGACTCAAGAATGGGCATTGATAAAGAATAACTATAACATGCCCACATCCATATATTGATTATGTTGAAGAATTGCTTTTGGAAAACAAGAATCGTTTCTTTTGTGCTCAATTACAACGTCTTATAATAAAAGAATCATTGGTTTATCTAGAAAATTTCATTGATATTTTCCTTTATTGTAACAGAACGTTGTCTGTAAATGGTTTCATTATAAACAATACTCTGATAAGCGTTGGCAATAATATTTAATATTCTCCAATAAAAGAAGAAAAACAAAATTCTTTAATGATAAATAAATCCGTTAATCACGATGAGATACGTTTTCTTAGTTTATTTCTCTACTTCGCTCAATAAGTCATCTCAAATATATATCTAAAAGAGTCATTCTAGCAGTTGAATCTAGTTAGAAATTTAGTGGAATTCATATGAAATTCGACATCCAGATTTGTAGCGTTGGATCTGATCGGATCTCACTATTCGAATTTTATCGTACGATCTGCTTGACTTCTACTGGTAGGATACAATACCAATTCGTACTCAAATAAGAAAATAGGGTTTAGCCCTGAGATCCGATCAGCATTTGCTCATACAGGTAGAAAGTATGTTGTTAACAAATCTAGAAAAAATTTCTTCGAAGTTTCGTATTAACGGAGATACAATAAGTAGTGATAGTGATAATTCAACGTGAAGTTTTTTTCGTTGAAGGTAACAGTATTGTGACGCTCACTCATCCTAGATTTGATTGTTGATGCACACGTTGAGTTCCGTTCACCTTATTTAGTAGTCTCGAAAGTGATAGATGAGATCGCCGATAGATTCAGATGCTTCCTCATCAATGTCGTCGAAATAGACGGTATCAAAGTATTTTATTTCTTTTCCAAATTTGTTAATATATTCATAGAAAGTATACATAAATATTATATGGCGATAACACATTCAATATAGAAAAAAGAAGATAATATTAAGATCAACAAATCTTTTTTTGTGTTTAACTATTTAATTAAATGACATGAACATTTTCTTCTCCAAATTCTCTCAATTTCCTACAACGATCAAATGATATTAACTAATGCGCGGCGACTTGAATATTGCCTTTTCATAATTCATGAAAGGTTTCATTTCTTCAGTTGTATCAACTTTTATCAATGTTTCTCTAATCAATGATCTATGACCTTTCCTTGATCAGCGATAAAACTATTAAACTCATTGATCGAAGTATGGCAACGGTATTCGATTATTTCTGCGATAAATGTGCTTCTAATCCGTCCTATAATGTAACTCATCATCTCGAAAGGATGAATGTGAGTGTAAGAGGTATGGTCATCTCAAACCCACACCTACATTTACTTCTTTAATGACGAAAATCTGTTGAAGAAGAAATATCACTTTCGTGTTTATTGACTCATTCAATTTCTTGTCCTTTTCTTCGAACGTGTGTTTACAACAGTTCGTAATTGATAAGCAACCACGTAGATCTAAATATATCTATTCGTTCTTTGAGAAATCATCAGGGTGTGATGTGGGGTGAATGTATTTAAGTCATACCCACACCCAAACTCTCATCTACATCGACACCCGCATTCTCACCTACCTACCCACACCCACCATGCATTGATACAACAAATATGTTTCGACATCGAATATTCTTAGATAGCTATCTAAGATTAATTTTTTTATTCATCAATAAATAAATAAAGATGTTTAAAATAAGAAAATAAATTTCATCTGTAGCTCTTTGATGAATAACGACGTTTATTGCTGGGTAGTACTAATTGACGTATACTGGGTAGCTTTTCTTTTGGACGCGGTATCATTGCCATAACAGTCCACAAACAATCATCATAGTTGACACGTCGACGATCCCATAGAAAATCATATGGCAAATAAAAATATCCATTAGATGCCTAAAAATCATTGATTAGAGAAATCTAATTAAAAATAAAATGACTTTTTCTTACCCAATCTGCTCCCCAAGAATTCCTTATAATGAAATATCGTTCTGGGTGATTATAACCAACAATAAGGACAGTATGTAACTTTTTGGCATCTATAAAATGATCATTGAGTTGATGCATATTCAAATAATTCTTATTCGATTTAATATTTCGTTCTGTGTCCTCATCTAATATCATATCAAGAGGAACTGGTATTTGATAATGTAAACATGTTTCAATTGCTTCAATACTAACTGGAACACGAAGCAAAACAACAGTATATTTTTGTGCTTGTTTATATGCAAATAAGGATGGTTTTACATTTACTAAACGTGCTTTATAAGGCCAATATGTTTCATCACATACTCCATATTTTCTTAAGCTTAAAGCCATATCTCTCTGATCAACACCTGTGTCTGACATACGACCTGTTCTTTGAAATCTTTTTCGGGCATTATAATGCATAAATAAACGAGACACATCGATATAATGCTGTGTTGAAGGAAGATCCATTGTACGTTTTATTTGATATTCACAAATACCTGCAAATGTGTTAGCACAACTAAAATAAAATATATAAATAAATATAGTTAGAATAGTTAAATATTTACCAAGTTCCCATAGTTTCTTGATTTTCAACAGGTGTCATCCATTCAGTTAAATCCACTGATTGTGATAATCGTTGCACTCGAAAAGAGTAATTTCGGATGGGCAGATTATCATCTTCTATTTCTTGCATAGAACGATAATGTCTATGTTTATGATGTTTAGCTAGCATCATTTTTTTTCTATATGTGTATAATAATATCGAGAGCAATACGAAGGTGAGTCTGCTCGTACACGTTTATATATAGGAAGAGAATGGAAAAAACCAAACGATACGTTATAATATTCGTCACAGTGTGTAATTTATCATAACGTATGACAGATAATATTTGGTTTTTTTTCCAACATTCAACAAAACATTACTCATAAAATGTGTCAATTTGTATAGATTAATGTGCGAGACAACACTTCCTCTTTTATTTCAATGACATTTAAATGATAAATAATTTTCTCACATCCGTCAAGGTTGAAAGATTTGATGTTTACAGAAAAACATTTATTAAAGAAACAAAAATTACAAATAAATAACATTGTAAAGGAAGTAACTAGTCAATTAAATATTTAATAATGACTGGTCTAGTTATTTTGAAATTATCTTCACATAGAACAACGTAAAATGTTTTTCAGCATAGTTTTGATATGATGATGCATCTGTTTATATTTTTTTCGTTTACTTTGCGTTGGTATTCCAATGAACATTTGAATAAAAATAACAGTTGTATCTTTGTTTTCTCTGAATTTTGCATAGACACACTATAGGCAGGATGGCTTCTCTGATTGTTTGAAATTTTCTGTTACCATCTAATACTTCAATTCTATTTTCTTTGATTTCTGGAATAAAACATTTTTGGGGAAACCTATGCATTAAAGGGTAAATACAGTATAAAATTTTGATTATTATCTCAAATACATACCGTAAATGTACCATCGTAATATCAACCTTGACATCCATTAAAAAGAATATGTATACTAGTGTTTATGGCATCACAAGGGATTGTGAAATTATGGGCTAATTATAATGAATAGCTATCAAGATATCGGTAATATCTAAGAATTTTTTAATTATGTTAGAAGTATATGGATAGATGATGATGCGTTCGCTTTAAACAAATAAAAACATTAACATTAGATAAATATCTTGAAAAAGTTATGTAAATAATCGAAATAAAAACCTATCGATTTTTCTTATCTATCTTCATAGTCTCTTACTAATTTGTTATTTGTGTATTTCAATCTGCAATATAATACACTTTTTCAAATAAATTAATCTACATCGATGGGGAAACAACAGAGACTTCATGCATGAAGTCCGCTGTTTCCACCTAGATCTACATGTAATCAGACGCTACTTCTAAATAGCAGGACAAAAAACATCTCGTCAACTAACATAATCTATTTTTGAACAATTCTTAATTTTAAATTTTGGAATATTTCTTTAATTAATCGATTATCCAACAGTAAATACAGAAATCATAATGATTTAATACACTTTATCGTTCTGATTTATCGACAATTTGTTGGAAAATGGCTTATTTGAACACAACTGTAATATACAAAATTAACCTAAAAAAGAAATTTGAGATGCAGGATACAGTTAACTTTATTGCATAATTTATTATAGTAGAATAAAAGTAGTATGCAACTATATGTTAATTATCAAATATGAAACATCAAAGTCTGTATTTTAAGTGTAATCGAGCACAATCTGCTGTGAGTTACGTAGATAGGCTCGTATATGTCGTCCAATAGGAAAAAGAATAATATCATTGTTCATGAAGTGAGCAAAGCGAGACGGTAACATCGGCTTGAAGAAAGAAAACAATACATCCCATTTTCTTTTATTTATAGGAAGAATAGTTAACATCATTTCAATCACTCTATTAAGACATCTTGTTGAAGGTTTACAATATTTAATAAGAAAAATACTTTTTTTACCACATCATAACAAAAGGAAACTTATTAACCTTCTAGTTTCTTCTTTAGGAGTATGAAACATCTTTTCTCTGCTCTATTTCTGTTAGTGTTTACATGTATGAATCGATGGATTTTGTTTTTTCATTTTTTTTAGAGTCAGTGTCTGTCAAATGACTAGCGTCTCCCAGCCCATTGCATTGATCTATCGAGGTCCTGCTACTACCGAAGACTGTCCAGAAGCTGTAGCAGCACTTCTTCAAGACACATATCAGGTTATCTATGTTGGACCACAAGAAAAAGTAGACGTAAATGAAACATCATTATCTACAGCGAAACTATACGTTCAGCCGGGTGGTGATGATCTTGAAGAAAGCTGGCCACATGTTTGTAAATACGCTCCAGCTATTCGTGAATATGTGAAGAATGGCGGAAGATATCTTGGTATTTGTCTTGGTGCATATTTAGCTGGAAGTGAACCAGGCTTCGATCTTCTCCCTGGTTCGGGAGACACCGATCAATATATTACGTCGAAAGATGCAGTTGTTACCAGTGAAATCGATACTGTAGTGCCTCTTCTGTGGCGACAGAAACTAAGGCATGTCTATTTTCAAGATGGAACACGTTTTGATCTCGATCAAACAGCAGCACCCACAGAAATTTTGGCAACTTATATGAATGGTGAAATTGCAGCAGCTGTGCAACATTATGGCCAAGGACGTGTAGGTATGATTGGACCTCATCCAGAAGCTGACGAAGAATGGTATGCTACGCATAGTTTGAAAAATCCAGATGGCAAGATGAGCTTTGATCTTTTCTATGATCTTATAGAAACATTGATGAAATCGTAATCTATTTTATCTATATGTGTGTGTGAGGAATAAAATAAATTATCATTCCAAGTACACTTTGCAAGTAAATCTAAAGTAAATGACGAAATGTGTGTACCATTCTTCTTTTTATCTGATGCATTAATGAAGAGATTGAGATACGTTCTATTTGTCTAAAAAATAACTGATTTGTTAAACAAACCAATACATTCCGAGTGGTAAAATCCGATGCAGCAAGTACTGATTATTTCATCACATCAAAATAAGCAAACGTGTTTTTATCGAAATTCAAATGGTGCAAGAGAAAAGACAAGATATTCATCTTGAAAATACATTTCCAGAAAATTATCTCTAAACTATATCAAGTCTATTCAGAAAATATTGCCTAATCTCTTCATGCACTGAAATTAAATCTAACCACTTACATTATTTTTATTAATAAGAAATAATTCATAATAAAAAATTAGAATCACTCATTTGTCGATAGTTATTATAGAAACTACTTTACATGTATCACTTGAAACAATTTTTAATCAGAATAATCTTCTGGCACGATCTAGTGATGATTCACACCTTTCACTAATGATCTTGGTACTTTTGATGCACGGCGTTCATGTTGATGATGATGATGATGATTTTTGGAATGATGTATATGCCTGCTTTGATGTTGATCGATTGTTGGAGATTGTTTCACCACATGTTTAACCTATTTAAATGTTAAAAAATTTATAAAAGAAAAAAATTAAATAATTTATGTTTACAAAAGGTGTCATTGGTGTGTGTCTTGATTGATCCATATGTTTTCGTCTATGATGTCCATCTAAATCTAATTGAGGTGTTGTTAAATGTGATATTTGTTGGCTGGTTGGCAAACTACGAATTTGAATAACGAATAACAGACGATTTTTACATTTGTCTAATTGATTATTAAGTTTTTCAAATTCTTTTTTATAATGACGACTACGTAAGACTTGTCCAATGGTTGATGCATTAGTAAATTTTTCTAATAATGCTACACAATCTATAAGACAATCTTGTAAGGTTAACATTGGTTGTTCTAATTGTTTAGAAATTTGTGCATCACATTGAATATGCTCTAAACAACCAACAACTTCATAAATATGCTCATTCAATTCAATACAATCTGTTTGATTTGCACAATAAGTTTCAATAGTATTGTGAATCTGTTTAGCCAAGGTGATAATACCACCAATCAAAGCAGGACCAACAGTTAAGGCCAAGCCAATGGAAACTGGTTCCCAATCTCTATTTCTTTGCATATGACTACTGCTTACAAAGTAAAAATATTGTATTATACATAATACGAAAGAAAAAATCGAGTATATATATATACATACATATAGGTATTATGGTTAATGATTATTCTCTTCCTTTTACTACACCGATGTGTCATAAGCGTCACGATTAGTATGTAAACATAGCTGACTACTTCCGAATTTACAAATGACATGTAAGGTAACTTTCCAAGGCTATCTGAGTCAAAAAATAATAGGAAATAGTATGGTAAGATTTACCGTTGATAAGTCTATTTTTCATATATTCTTTATATCTTTTTTTTTACAATTTTGAAATTTATTCTGTGTTTTTATATGCTTTTATCAATTATTTTGACAGAATTTCTTCTTCAACCTAGTTATCACTATTAACAGGAAAAGTACTCTACAAATCGATGCGTAACTGATAGTTGCTTCCAGCACACTTTGCCAGTCTTGAGATTCTCAAAAGCTTTCATTGAAAAATGATTTTACAATGTATTTTTCTTATAAGAACATAGTCAATAGTTTATTGTTATAGTTTTATAATAGTAGATGAAAGTACATTTTACTGAACTTTTGTTTCATTTGTTTGTTTTTCTTTTGAATAATCTATATAAGGTAATCCTAGATAATAGACAATATGTAAGTGATCGTCTGGTTTGAATGGCTGCTGAGGAGATCGAGAATTTTTTATTTGATGTTGTCGATGTTTGATTGATAGGAGACGCATAGCTTCGCCGCATACAATTCCTAGATGACAATGAAAAGCACCAAATACATGCCACCAAGCATGCAATTGTGGATTAAATCGACTGATATTGTTCATTCGTTCACATAATTGTTGATCGATAGTCCAACATACAAAAGCTGAAATTAGTAAACCAACATATACTATAAGTATATATTTGATCCGATATATATGATGATATGGTTGTCGATATAGATAAATTAGTTTAATTATAGCTCCAAGTACCATCAAACCCATATGTGCTTGAAATATCAGTACGAATGTTTGTAAACTGTGTACGTACGTCCATAATAATCCATAAAAAATTCCAAATACGAGTAATATGTCAATTACAAATAGTTTATTCTTTATCTGTTTAAATTCATTCATTCTATATAATATAAACCACCAGATAATCATTGAATAGACCATTGGAAGTTCATCGGCCATTTGTCCTAAATGTGTTAGAGTACCATGAAAATAAGCAGATCCAAGACCGACTAATATAAAACCCAAACTAGATAATAAAAATCGAGTTTCAACGTTATTGTATAAACCTCGAATAAATAATATTGCACCTAATATGCACATAGAGAAACTTGAAATACAATTCCAAAATTCAGCAATATACTGAGTTACAACATAATTACGTTCACACCAATCGATTGAACTAGTACTAGGTGACCAATAACCGATATTTGTATCTAAGTTAGATTCAAAATGTTTAACATTCGAGGGATGGCTATGACTAGCTACAGTCGCTCGTGCATCGACTACAACATGCAAGAAGATTGTATAAACTAATACGTGTAAAATAAAAATTGATGAACGCATATTTCAAATATCTGAACGCTTGTTTGATCGTCCTTTGGATTCTTTTGCTTTTGTAGCTCACGAAATAGTTATGTAACTAAACAAAAAATAAATATCACATTTAATTATAGTATAGATCCAGCATATAAACAATATGTTGATTATAGAAAGAAAAAAAGATCTAAAACTATCGAGTCCTACTAAACGTACGTGTTTTTTCAAAAAACATTCTATATTTCGAAACTTATGATTGATAAAGACAATGAAAACTCTTGAACATTATTTGGTGTCATGAAATATTTTATCGATATTGTCAAAATAGATCTTTTCTCCAACCAAGAATCTCACAGAAAATTGAGAAACAAGGTAGTTTTCTATCAATTCTCTATTTTGATTGATATTTCATAATGATAAGTCACTTTCGATTTTATGATTTATAATTCTGAGTATAAAACAAATTTTTTTGCCGTTTAGGAATTTTTCTGTTGATTTCGATACTGTTAAATATGGATGATGTGTGAATCTACTTTTCATCATGAGCCCTCCATCGAATCACAGTACTCAATCTGGGTTTCTTCGCTATTTTAAATACTAGAAAGATAGCGTTGGTCTCAAAATGAAAAAAGAAATAAGTTGTAGAATTTTAGTAGATTCTATATTTCGAACTGAAGCTTTTTTTACTGGAAAATACGTATATGATAAGATCCACTGTCTATCTTAATTTGACCGAAATCAGATGATCGAATAGAAAGAAAGAAAAGCTTTTGTATTGGACGTCGTAGCACGGACGGAAAAACTGAATTGCATTGACATACTCTTGTATGAAAGGCAGTAGTTGTGTGTGCGTTGCTATTTGCTCGCATCTCGCCATATTCTTTACAATCTCTCGACTGTAAGTTGTTAAGAAAGAATGAAAAAAGTCTATTTTCATTTTTTGTCGTGGTTTACGATAACAGAAAGGAAAGAAAAAATTTTCTAGGTCTCATAAAATCTGCATATCTTTTAATATATGAGTGTCAGTGTGCAAAAACACTGATAAACCTACATCCATCCCTAGGAGCAATCCGGTACGATCTTTAATCGTAGAGAGAATAGTAAAAAAAAAAGCTCACTATGATAAAAGATCGGTATGTAGATGATATATTATTTTCGAAAATCATTGAGTATTGCTTATGTATTGATGAACGATTGTGGTGTAGTGTTGATTGCTAATCGATAAAGGTTTACTCATTACTACTTGCCGGGTATTGTAGTTATTCTTCTTTCTGAAGATTTCATCATCCTCATCCAAAATATGACTACACAGTTCTATAGTTTTTCAGTACATAAAAGACAGTCGCTTTCTTGTAAATCGATCTCTAGAGTGGGGAGTATAAGTTTTTTCTTATTATTTTCGATAGTAATTTTTAATTCATATTTAATATTGTTACATTCAAATTCGATTCCGTTCTCCTATAAATATTCTATTAACTGAATTCAACAATTCAATCAACACTAATATGAGCTGTTTGATAACTCCATCTTTTCAAGATAGTGTAACACACATCTTACTAAAAATATTGGTACTTTCCATTGCTGTGTTTACTGATTTGTACATAGCAATATTTTGGGCACCGTCGTATCCTTATTTACATTCACCTTCTCTCTTACACTTAAACCAAAATTCTGCATGGAAATTTACTTTTACAACAAAACTATCTCAAAATATGGTTTATCAATCATTATAAAAAAGTACAGTTTTTATTCTTATGAAATAAAAATAAATGAAATCTTTATTTCTAAAATATTTCAAACCTGCTTTTATCGACACATCATTGAGCGCTATATAAATGAAAATTTTAGTAGTAATACAGTTATTATGTAATAATAACTGTTTTAAAGGTAAAAGCTTTTAAATAAATATTTTTCTTCATTTAATAATAAACGCTCATTGTACAAAGAAGGTAGCAATCACGGATCATATTAATAGATGGCGTTCAATATCTCGATATAATATAATGAAGTCAATGTAAATTAGGATCCGTGCCATTGAGGGTACGAGTATGACCAAAGAAAAGACATCCTTACCCTAAAGACTTTGTACATGTATAGATGAACAAAATCATTTTGTCAAAATGATTATAGTAATAATCAACAGTATTATAAGAACAATTGCGTTTGATTGATCGATTAATTTAACAATATGTGTGTGTAATATTCTGCATCATAATATCGTTACTTAATTAATTGAATATGGATACTTTCATCAATAATTATGCATGAGCATTTTCGGCTTTTATGTTAGATTTGTTGTTTTGAAAATAAATATCATGTACCATTAATATTAATAAAAAGATATGATTTACTGAGATTTAATTTTTGACAAAGATCGATTTAATCTATGATAAATGTCAAGAGAGCACGAGAAAAAATGTTACTTAAAATAAATAAAACATAATCTTACATTAGTATCGATTGTTCATCAAGGGGTAAGTCAATTCAACAACAAAAAAATACAAATTAGAGCTATGTGTAGAAAAATTATTTTCATAGTTTTCATACTTTTAGTTCACTTAGATTATTTTGCTTATGCAAACGAAATCGATAAAAATAGAATATCGTCCACATTAACATGTGCCTTTTTAACACTTTCAAAAACAGAACCATCTAGCAATAATAATTTTAGCTGTCGTCAAACAAAGGTTACCTTGACAAGCTAAAAGAACATTTTCACTCAAATAAGGATACCAAATAAACGCTGTTTGTTTATGAAAAGGAGAATAAGATTTATCGGCGTTTCTCTCTTCAACATCATTTTCACATTCAAGCATGAAAGCACACATTAAGAATGAAAAAAAACGTGTCGTTTTAGTGATTGTTTTAAATTTGATGTATAGCCAATAATGAAAAAGATCTAGTTGATGCAAATAACTAACATTTATTCTCAATCGATCGACTTCATTGGTGAAAAAATAGAAAAACTTTGTATTTGTTTGTGTTATTCTTCTTTATCAACATTTTAACCAAATCTAATTTCTCATTTCAATTATTTAAGATACATATATATCGATTATGCCAAGTCACAATCAATGGGTTTAATTCGTCTTTTATATCATAATAAGTCAGTGATAATAGTATCATTTCTTATTTATATTCTTTTTTTGTTGACAATCCAAACTATTAAACAGTCAAATGATCCTAATCAAACTCAAGTAAGTTTAATAATTATGAAGAAAATAAATCTATATTTAATCTTCTACAGCAATCAAGTCAATATAAATATCGATCAAAGTCAACCTTTTATTTTATTATTAACTATTTGTTTCAA